TATGACTGTTTTTCTTCTGTGAAACACAACAGAAGATATTCTGGAAAATGTGTCAAGGTTTTCTTGTCCATATAAAAAGGTTCCAAAAGAACTTATCTTTGGGTTCCCTAAAGAACCTTTCAGTGAACAGACCTTAAAATATTTTTTTTTCCAGTCTGAAGAACATTATAAAATATAGCTGCAAGCAGCAATTACCAGGGTTCAAGCACTTTAAGGCCTTTATCACATATATACTGTTAAGGTCTAGGCCAACCTGACATTTTGGGGTGACATCAGAACACATCCATGATGAAGAACACTCACATACACACACTGAAATTAAAGGGTTAAAGTATAATACTTAAGCATACTTACACATGCAAACACATTTTCTTGTAGATATGGGGATCTGAAGTAAATTATAGGTAACAAAATGCTTACTGCAAGTCTTTTCTTTATAACAATTTTCAATTTTTCACTACAATCATAATGAGACATAATTGTAAAATGTGATTCCTCAATGTAAATAAAATAGTAAACGTTGACAAAATGTGATTTTACATGTTATGATAGGGATTTCTTAATGTATAAGTATGAATCCAAAAGCAAAACCTGTGAAAATAGGAATTATTAGAGTACAATGTAGTACAAAGAGTACAACTTTAAAAAGTTAGGAGCACCACAACTAAAATGTGTATGTGTAAATATATATATATATAGGGCTTGACATTACGCCTTGTCATTCACTTTTCCGAGTAAAAGTCACTTTTCCGGAATACATAGGATTTTTGTGTTGTAAATATAATTTATTCTGAAGCAATATTCTCATGGGTGTTCTATCAGCTTTGACATTTAAATCTGCATATTTGTAATAATTAGCCCAGGGCATTTTTTTTTTTTTTACCTTTATAAAGGCAATTTTTTTTCTCTAATCTTATTAAATGTGTGCTTCATCTATTATTTTAAATTCTTAAATTTGTATATGTTGTATATATGTTTAAAAAAAATTATGTAATTGGAAAGAATTATATTTTTAATGATACTTTTAAACATTAAACTAAACCACCAGTAGGTGGCGGCAAGTGACTGTCTGACTGTCTTAATGAGTGAGTCATTAAAGGGGTCATAGGATGCTACATGCACTTTTACAAGTTGTTTGAACTTAAATGTTTGTTGGCAGTGTGTGTACACAGCCACCCTATAATGATAAAAATCCACCCAGTGATTTTTATTATAGAATAGTATAATGTTTTGTAATGAATCTTTGCAAATCGCCTTTCCTAATAATGTGCTAATTAGCAAGTTTCATGATGCAAGTCATATAAACTCATGAATATTCATGTATGCTCCGCTCACTGAAACCGAAAATCTCGTAACACCGGTCACTGTATGAGCTCACAGCAGGCACATACTGTGCAGTAATTACTTAGCCAACGTTTTGTAGAGAAATGAAAACAGGTCGCACCTCAACAATTATTTGCACTCGCACAAATGCTCCCAAATATATTTTGAGGTCGCACACATTAAATTTAGGGAGCATATGCGACTAAAATGGTCGCAATTTCGAGCCTTTAAACATGACACGACAAAGAGAGTGCAATTTTCCCTGAAAACCACGATTGCAAATTTGAAATTGATTTTATACAAGAGTTCAAACGAGTAGTGATTATTAAGTGACTTACATTTTAGTACAATACTGTCAGTGTTGACTCTTTTTGGTCCATTTGGTTAATGCAAATAGTTCCAAAGAACACAGCAGAACAGTTGCGCAACTTTGAGCAACACACAACGGTGGTTCCTTACTGAATGATTCACGTTTTTGAATTAATAATTTGAGTCAGTTATTCAGTGCTTCATTCTTGAATGACAAAGCCACTAGAAGGCAAGCCTGCAACCATTAGCCGAAAAAGCATAACGGCTATTAGTTTGATATGAGTGAGAGACAGAAAGGAGGAGCGCCAAAATAAAACCATGCCCTCTATTCAATATTCCGTTTCAGATGGAAATACGTCACTACACTGAAATAAAGTCGGCAGCAACTTCCGGTTCACGCGGACTTTAATTATTTAGTTTGTCCCATGTCCCATTAGATTGCATGGAGAGGGCGGGGTTTATGACCTATACTGGGACCAGCCACCTGGGGGCGATCGAAACGCAGTGGCTTCACTTTTTAAGACTCGTGCGGCACATTTGGTTTGCTCACCGTGGACTGTCTGACTTAAAGCGATAGTTCACCCAAAAATGAAAATTTTGTCATCGTTTACACTCCCACAAGTTGTTCCAAACCTGTAATTTTGGTTAATGCAAATAGTTCCAAAGAACACAGCAGAACAGTTGCGCAACTTTGAGCAACACACAACGGTGGTTCCTTACTGAATGATTCACGTTTTTGAATTAATAATTTGAGTCAGTTATTCAGTGCTTCATTCTTGAATGACAAAGCCACTAGAAGGCAAGCCTGCAACCATTAGCCGAAAAAGCATAACGGCTAAAGCTAACGCTTCCGGTCTGGCAGTACGTGGGAAAGGAGACCAGACGTCGTTTTTTTAAATGGATGTCAGTGGAGGAGAGGCTTCACTGCGATGAATAAACAGCTTTTTAGAGGAAACGGCTTATCATTTAATGAGTCTTTCTTCTGTTGAACATAAAATAAAATACTTAGAAGAATGTGGGTAACCAAACAGTTTCTGGTCCCCAATGACTGTGATAGCATTTTTTCTCTACTATGGAAGTTACTGAGGAACAGCAGCTGTTTAGTTACCCACATTCTTCTTCAAACAAATCTTCTTTTGTGTTCAACAGAAGAAAGAACTTCAGTTTTAGAACAACCTGGGTAAATTATGACAGAATTTTCATTTTTGAAGTAATACAGACCCTCGCATCTCCCTATAGTAAGACAATCTCTGTTGAATGAATCAGCCGTCTGAACGAATCATTTGAATGAAAGCCTCAATGACTCACTCATTAAGACAGTCACTTGCTGCCACCTACTGGCGGTTTACTCTGCACCACCCGGCCAGGCGGCTCACCTCGCTCCTATAGTTTGTCTCATCTCTGTTGCTAATGAGACCCACTACAGTCGTGTCATCCGCAAACTTAATGAAGAATGTTTCTTTAAAGTGAGAGACACATCTGTTCTTCTAAAGGTATAACCCTATTGTTTTATTAAAATTAGGACAGTCTGTTAGAGCTTGATAGACATAATTATTATATTTTAGACATTATTAGACAGATTAATTAATAGATTATAATTAATGTTAGACCCTATTTATTAATTTATAATTTATATTAATCATAAATATATACATAATAAATAAGCATATATGTCATATACAATTTTACCATTTTAAAAAAGTTTCATATTTGTATATATTTTTTAAACTGATTTAAAACACCAAGCTCATAACATTATTTATGCTGTTGTAATTTTGCAGTGTAAATGCATTCATTCTACATTTCAGCTTCATTAAACTGTCTGTGTAAATGCATCTAAATGCCACTTCAGCTTAGGGTTGCCACTCGTCCCTTAAAATCGTCCCGTATTTAAAGGTAAAATGATGCGTCCCGTATCAATCAATACGGGACGAGATTTGTCCCGTATTTTACAAAGGCCAACAAGCTGAATCAACAAATAAGTATTTTGCACTGTTTATAATGCTAATAGCAATTATAATGAAATTAATTTCATAAGAAGTTAGAGAAGCTCATCTTGGCGTCTTTGTTTCCATGGCGATGATGGAGTCTCCAGAACGTGCGCCGTTAGCCCTTTCACGTGAGCGCAGCATGCGCTAAACCTGCACGGTTTAAAACATCGAGGAGCTCACATCCACCCTTTGAACACAAGATTCTCCAGCTGTAGAGCTGAACAGGAAAGTTATGAATGGGTCTTTTACTATTGCCATCTATATACATAATAAATAAGCATATATGTCATATACAATTTGACCATTTTAAAAAAGTTTAAAAAATGCTAAATTATTTAGATTTAATGTAGTCCTAATTTAAGCAAATGAATAAAAACTAAAATAAAAATTAATCTCATCCAGGTAACAGCTGCAGAACGGTCAAATAAGACTAATAAGAATTAATAATTTACATACATGAGCATGTTTTCTCATGGTGTATTGTTGAGCTATGAGTTCCTCACTGATTATTTGTGTCCTTGTTTTGTTTTGTTTTTCTCGGGGGTGGGGGGTGTCATGAATGGGTGTCCCTTATTTTGGCTGGCTGAAGGTGACAACCCTACTTCAGCTGCTTCTGTTTCTTCTGCAGGGGAAAGATAGGTTTTGTTAATACTGATTTCATTTGATTGGTAACAGCCCTATTGTGTCATATTATATGAAATTATTAATAAAATGTAAGAATTTAAGATGAAAGATGACACAGGCATTTAAGGGGAAAAATGCCCTTTTTATAGGCAAAAAAAAAAAGAGACCTGGAAATCAATTTTAGTATGCAGTAACTTTAGTCATATAAAACATAATTTCCCGACAACAAAATTGTGGCCAGTGAAAATATGTGTCTGAGTGGCTAATTTTGGAAAAACCCAAGCACTGTGGCTGGGGAGCAAAAAAGTTAGTCAAACCCTGTATACAGTGAATATTTGTATTACTGTAGTTAAAAATGTGGTTTTTAGGTGATGGGGGTGCTTGATGAGTGTCAAACACTAGAAAGGGGTGCACGCTGCAAAAAGTTTGGGAACCACTGATCTACATTATAAAGAACCTTTGTGCAATGGAAAGTTTCCATGGATGTTAAAGGTTCTTCATGCAACCAGATGCCCATAAAGAGCCTTTATCTTCAAGTGTGTACAGTGAAAGTTGGACAAAAACAAGTTACTTCAAAACATATTATTTTCTGTTTCACAGAAGAAAGAAAAAGCGAGTTCAGAAATAACAGGGTTACTGTTGACAGACTTTTTATTTCTGGATTAACTGTGACCCACAACCTTATGATCTGTGAAACTGTCTATGTGTTTCTCATAAATATTTCGAGAAGCTCATCTTGGCGTCTTTGTTTCCATGGCGATGATGGAGTCTCCAGAACCTGCGCCGTTAGCCCTTTCACGTGAGCGCAGCATGCGCTAAACCTGCGCGGTTTAAAACATCGAGGAGCTCACATCCACCCTTTGAACACAAGATTCTCCAGCTGTAGAGCTGAACAGGAAAGTTATGAATGGGTCTTTTACTATTGCCATCTAGTGGACAATAACAGGAACATCAACTAATCACTACAGGGTCTGTCCAGTAACTAATGATGCACGTGCAGTTTGCAGAGAAGCATTTGCTCACATAGACTGTAAAAAAAAAAAAAGAGACCTGGAAATCAATTTTAGTATGCAGTAATTTTAGTCATATAAAACATAATTGTGGCCAGTGAAAATATGTGTCTGAGTGGCTAATTTTGGAAAAACCCAAGCACTGTGGCTGGTGAGCAAAAAAGTTAGTCAAACCCTGTATACAGTGAATATTTGTATTACTGTAGTTAAAAATGTGGTTTTTAGGTGATGGGGGTGCTTGATGAGTGTCAAACACTAGAAAGGGGTGCACGCTGCAAAAAGTTTGGGAACCACTGATCTACATTATAAAGAACCTTTGTGCAATGGAAAGTTTCCATGGATGTTAAAGGTTCTTCATGCAACCAGATGCCCATAAAGAGCCTTTATCTTCAAGTGTGTACAGTGAAAGTTGGACAAAAACAAGTTACTTCAAAACATATTATTTTCTGTTTCACAGAAGAAAGAAAAAGCGAGTTCAGAAATAACAGGGTTACTGTTGACAGACTTTTTATTTCTGGATTAACTGTGACCCACAACCTTATGATCTGTGAAACTGTCTATGTGTTTCTCATAAATATTTCCTGGATATTCACATCCAGCCATAGTTTCCATCTCAACCAACAGCATCAAAGACATTGTTGTCCTTAAATGGAAAAGATGAAAAGATTCAAGGGGCATTTATTTCTTCCTCCCCCATAAACTGCATCAAGTTACACATTTTACTTCCCTCCTTCCCCAAAAATTACACAAGACGCATACTTCCCAAAGCAATTCTTTAGAACATTTCCAGTGAAATTATGGTAAGAACCTAAACACAAGCACAGAGCAGTGTTTGCGTGTTTTCACATGCCTCTGCTTGTGGGTGTGAGGAAACCAGTGACGTCACAGTAGTCGCATAAAAAGCGAGATAGCTCAATCTACCACAGTGATACAATGGACACTGCCAAGCTCTGGTTTACGCTGCTCTGTGTTTGTGGCTGCTGGATTTTGAGTCTGGCAATAAACTGTGACTGGACCACTGAGTATGACTACGAAGAAAGATGTTGTAAAGCCTGTCCTTTGGGTAAGACCATATTTATTTTTATTGTCTGTTTGTGATTATTGCATGTAGAATGCTAAAGTTTTGTGCTGTACATATTCTTTATCTATAATTTGAGTTACAGCTTTATTAGCACACATTTATACTCAAGTTTCTATTAAACACTGTTATACCTGAGGCATCATTGGTGGAACCCTCTGGAAAAAGTCAATGTTTGTTACACTGAAGGAAGATGAGAAAACGTTCTAACTTTATTTGAATGTCATTAATTGTTGTGTTTTACAGGTGAGTATCCCAAAGTACCATGTCCAGAGAACAACACCGAAAGTGTGTGTGAGAAATGTTCAACAGCTGTTTCGGCTAAGGACAAATGTTTCTGCAAAGATAATCACTTATGTTTTGATGACAAATGTGGTATTTGTAAGACCAGGGAAAGATGCAAACCTGGACATCAGCTGAAGAGAACTGGTAAAGTGTTTTATTATTATTATTATTATTAAATGAAATGACACGTGTCCGTTATGATTGTTATTTATGAGCTCATCATATCTGTGGGTCTTTCCTGGGGACTTTTTATGGTCATAGTGTGTAGAGGGCATGAGGGCAAAGAGACATTAACGTAGTAAAAATATTATTTTAAATAGCTTTTTCTGTTTGGTGTTTTGGCAGGTGCCTTTGATTATTGGTACTTTTGTGAGCCATGTCCAAACAACACTTACAATGATGCTGAGGACAGTACGTGTAAATCCATTACAAAGTAAAGCTTTTTGTTTGCTAGATTTCATTGGAGTTTTGAAAAAGATAATGCCTTGAGATGTTTATTAGGTGATAACTGATTTTCTAAAATTAGGTGTGTTGGTGGTGAAATCTTCCCTGGAAACAAGACCCACAATGCAATATGTGTCTCTTCTGGTTTGTACTTTTTACTACTGTCATATACAACACATACTGTCATTATGGGGTTCATATGCTTGTTGACCATGAATTTCCATTCATAGCGCATATTTGTAATGAAAAATGTAACCCTATAATTTAAATATACCCTAACAGCATTTATCATGTTTATTATACTATCTGTTCCTTATACTATCTGTATAATGTTTTTAATTTAATGGATTCCTGCTGAATAAAAGTATGAATTTCTTAAAAAAAGCAAAGAGCTAAATCTTTCCGACCCCAAACTTTTGAATGGTAATGTGTGTATACTGTATATTGAAATTTGAAATCTGAATTTTAAAATTCCTTAATATTTCCAGGATTTCCATTACCATGGCAGTAGAAACCATGTATATGGGATATACTGTATATACTCAGTATATAACCTTTACATTTATTGAAAAATATTTGATGATTTAGAGGAGCAATCCTAAATTAGTGTAGGACATGCTTTGCGTGCTATCTAACAAACACAGCGCTTGTTTTTCTTTTAGATTTTCTATGTTTAAGAAATGCTACAAATGCATTTCTCATTTTTCCACAGCAAATTTCATAGTTCAACCAGTAGAGAGAGAGAGAGAGAGAAAGACAGGAGTCAGACTACTCATTCTTTCATGTTGGCCTGTTTAGCAGTCACTGTGTTGACCTGCCTGGTTTTTATCATGTATACTGCTTTTCAAATTTTCAAATACAAGATGCTCACAAAAAGTAAGTGACATTTTCATGTTTGTCCAATTTCTAGTTATCTATATTTAAGTCTTATTCTACACTGAACAAAATTATAAACGCAACACTTTTGTTTTTGCCCCCATTTTCATGAGCTGAACTTAAAGATCTAAGACTTTTTCTATGTACACAAAAGGCCTATTTCTCTCAAATATTGTTCACAAATCTGTCTAAATCTGTGTTAGTGAGCACTTCTCCTTTGCCGAGATAGTAAATGAAATTCCTATGTGTGATATAATTGCATCTTTCCACAGTAAGCAAACCATGCACACATAGGATGGTATTGCCCTCAGATACATGCAGTTGCAAATTATCCAAGGAGGAAAAGGGTGAGGACTCGGAAGACCCTTGCAAGCATGATGTGCACAGCTTTCCTTGAAGTTTCTCTGTAATGTGAAGAACACTGCACAAAGGTGTCATCTCAGTTTCAAAACTGATTCATATAATAAGGAGGAATGAGCAGAAGGTGACATGTTTATGTTTGCCATGAAATTTGCTCTCTGAAGCTGATTTATGCAAGACGTGCAACAGGAGTGATGCTTCCTGTTAACTTTATATGTTACCTTGTAAGTGTAAAAACGGTTAAAAGACAGGCTTTCAAATTTTCTACAAGAGCAGAGAACAGTTTCCATTATGCAGTTAAGTAACGGGTGTAATTAAACATTACAAATGTAAGGTTTACAACAGATTAACCTGAGGACATGGTAATGGACATAAAAGAAATAAGTATTGGACCAAAGATTAACAGACACAACAGCCAGCCTTATTAATATGTAATGCTTCATATATGTCTTATTTTTTATTAATTTTTTTTAATGATGTTCTTCTGATTTCTCTTTTGTCACATGTGAACACTTTCTATAGTCCACTTTTTATAGTCTACAGGTTCTTCTGTACATATAAAATCCATAATATAAATACTTTTGCTAAACAAAACTATTTGTCTTGTTGTTGCATGTTAGGTTTCGAAGTGTGAAATATTTTAAACATTGTCACTGGAACTACATCAGTGGATATGCTAATATATATACACGTGTGTGTATATATATATATATATATATATATATATATATATATATATATAT